CTGAAGTCTGTCTGCAGGATCCAGTGGACGGCAGCTGAACGGCATCGAGCCATGACACGGTTCACCTCATCCAGTCAGAACTTTAAAACAGAGATCTGTGGGTCGGGCCTTCAGCTGAAGTGAACCTGCACAGGTAACTATGTGATCACATGAGTTCAACTAAACCTGTGGTTTAAAAATGGTGCTCGTGTTGATTCTGCATGAAAAGCTCATGATCTGATCCGGTCCTCTAGTCTGTAGAACAGCTCGTGGTACCGGGTTTCCTCTACGCCAGGCTGCTAATCAGAACCTTTTGTAACCAGACAAAAGCAGGAGTTTGTTCCTTTGATACAGTTTTTGTGATTCCGTCGAACAAACAGCCTGCGTTCCGCCGCCATCTGCTTTCTGGCCCAGATGAAAGCCGTCTTAAAGCAGATCGCCTCTGGCTGAGCACAGAACTGAAAACATGCTGCATAATTAGCCAAATCAATAAACAACAGCAAACACAAGGACCTTGACGAGAGAGGAGCGCAGAGACTCGTACAAGCTGCTGCCAGCCGCTTTAGAAGCATTGTTGATTTTCTTCATCAACAATTCGCACTTCAAAAAGCTGCGAGCGTTTTCCACACAGACACGCTGCCTTCATGCATCCACAGCTCGATGCTACTCCCATCAAGGTGAGCATCCACACCCTCGCTCACAACACGGCTCAGCACAGGTTCAATCAGCGGGAACGGGCCGACGAGGAGCAGCAAGCGTACGACGGAGGACACTGAGGGGGAGTCACTGAAACCAGGAGGGAGGAACACGACATCCCTGCTCGAGCCGAGGGATGGCGGGAGGCCGACCCGAGTCTGGGCTCTCCGCCAGCCATGCTCCGGTCTGGAACTTACCGGAGCGTCGGGAGTTTCCGTTCTCCAGCAAAGCAGCTGGCACTGCCCTCCTCCTCCTCCTCAAGGAGAGGTGGGCTAAAAGGCCTGAGGAACAAGAGGGGAGGGAAGCTTGAGAACGTTAACTGGTGTGGATCAGGAGCTCAGCTCTGGACAACAGAACGGGATTGCACTTCCAACACGAGGACTCAACACGATGTCAACACTGTGGAAAGAACCAGTACAGCACGACTACCAGGACAGAGAGGCAGCAGCTTGGTCCTCATCACAAACACAGCTCTGCCTCCTGCATCAGCTCTGACGGCGGCTTTGATTCGTCCAGATAACGTTGATGGAAACAACCTGTCTGTTAACCCTTTCAACCCTGCAGTCCGCTGTACCGGTCTGCCGCTTTCAGTCCGTCCACCCTGCAGCCCGGTACAGCGGCGCCGCTACACGGTGACTTTCTGTTACTTTCATGCTGATTGGCTATCAGTGGGAATCCCCACATGTGAACAAGAGATTCAGTCATGGAATAAATTATGCAAATAATAATAATAATAATAATAATAATAATAATAATAATAATAATAATAATAGTTGTATATATCCCTGGTAATTAGGAAGTTTACATTTTCACACCTGTATTTCACCTCCAGACGTATTTAACCGTCACTCGTCTACTTCTGACCGACACCAGACGTGTACCGATGTGACGTCTGCTGAAGGATTTATGAGTGATGAATCCAAACCGTGTCTGATCTTGAACTTCAAGCAGAGTTCCTGAGTGTTGACGGGCTAAAGGAGGATTCAGGTTTATTTTCTACTCTCTGTCTCCACTGTACAGGTTCAGGACGATGAGTCTCATCAGTCTTTGTTCAACACAATCACTTTAAATGTTTGTTTTCAGTGTGACTGAAGCGGAACGCTCAGCTCCTATACAGTCAGCCAAGGCTAATAAAGCCACTAAAACCCTGAGATAAGTTCTGTCTTTACCTTCAGTCAGACTGAAAACAAACAAGACTGAGAAGGAGGATAAAAGGACTCCAGGCTGTGGAACCACAACTCAGGAATCGTCCAAACTGACTCAGATTTGTCTAAAGTGGATCAAATGTGTTCAGACTGACTCAGAACCGGGTCCAAGGTGAAGCTCATGGCTCTGCTGCTGACTGAGGAGGAAGACCTCCACGTGTCCATGACCGGAGGAGTTCAACTGTAGAGATACAACTGATGAATTGAAGTGACTTTAGAATGGTCCAGAATGACTCCAGATGTGGAAAAACAACTTTTAAAATTGTGCAAAATGAGCTGAAACTTGTCAAAAAAAAGAGTAAAACGTGTCCAACGTGAGTCAGAACCTGCACAGAGCGACTCCACATCGGTCCAAATATACTTCCTGTGTGTAAAAACCCTCTGAATCAGTTTCAATTGGGAGCTCAAACTAACCTGACAAAAGCTGATTCAAAGTTAGAAACATCCACAAACATGAAACTAACTGGACTTGTCCCTGGTCCGGTCGGGTCAGGATTCAGTCACCAGCCGGTCGCTCTGAAGAACAAGAAGCTGAGTTCGTTTCAGTGCTTCAGATTTCAAGGGAGCCTCTGGAGGGGTTTTATGAAGCAGCATCGAGTTCCTGACGTCACTGAGCTGCACCGGACCTGAAACCAGCCGGACTAAACCTGGAAGGACGACCCGATGCTAATAATCAGTCGCCAGCACACGATGAGAAGCCGTCCAGGGTTTCCTCTGCCATCAACATGAACTCAGTAAAAAAAAAAAAACTGTCTCAGTCAGACTCTGGAGAGCTGACACAACATGATGCAATGGAAACGAGCAGCTGTGAAACCAAACGGGCTGAAGTCGGTTCCTCCGCCGACTCACAGCGGAGTTCTGCACAAGATTCTGGCTGAACTTTGGGAGTCTTTCTTAGAATTTCAGTAAAAAAAAGTCCCCTCATCTGTGAAGTCATTTTATGGTTCAGTGTCTCCAGAAATAGAAAAACACAGAATCTGGTGCATTTTCACACTTTGGTCAAGTTCAAGACAAACATGTGAAATGATTCATGTCAAGGCCTGGAGAAGGTTTGTCCAAAATAACTGCAAACACCTGCAGGACTACGGTGAAACATAAAAGCTGCTCATGAGCCATGTTGAGGGCTCAGTATGTCCATAAACAGAAGTCTGATGATTAATGATAGATCAATACATGATCCTGATGAAAGCTTGTCAGAAGAAACTCCAGGCGTCTAAAACAACTTGAAACTTGTCCAAAATATCACAAAACTCCACATTAGGATTAAATAAAACTAAAAAATAATAATAATCCAGAAATGAAAACAGCAATAAAAAGCTTCAGTAAGACATCAGCTCACACGGGAAGCAGAGGATCTACTGAAGCTGAAGGGAAACTGCAGAGACACAACTTATGACCTCCGATGAAGACCAAACCATGAAGAGCTGCTCCACCAACATACAACCATCAGGTCCTTCACCTCTGACCAGAATCACATCTGGACACCTTCTAGCTTCGGGATGAATATGAAATATCTCGTGTCTAAATGTGTGTGAGATTAAACAGAAGGTTTTGGATCTGAGGTGGTGGACGTCTGGTGTTCAGATCTTGTTGGTATTTGTGTGAAGATTCCTGGAGTTTGAATGAAGAGCGTACTTCCAGGAATGTGTTGACTTACTGGGTTCAGTTTACGGCGTCTGGATCGGACTCTGGTGTCGGATGTCTGCTGAGGTTTCTGAGTGAAGATGTTTAGATCTGAACCTCTGCATGTCGCTTCAGGTTCCAGAAGTCGAGTCTGGGTTTTGCTAAAGCTGCCTGGACCTTCCTGGTCGTCTGGACTTTGATAAACTGTTTTGTCTCTCTGAACCGATCTGGACCTGTTGTTGGCTGAAGGTGTCAGGGATGAGCTCAGGGTCTGCAGATCAGGCCAAGAGTCTCTGGGCTCGGCTAGAATCTGGGTTTTGTTAAAGGTTTGTGTTCATCTGAGAATGTGTGGATGCTTCAGGTGCTGGGAGTCGACTCAGACGAGCTGAACTTAGCAAAGCTTCTCCACGGTTGGCCGAGAGGCTCTTGGTTCTGCTACGAGTGTTTAGTCTTGTGTCCGGTCAGGAGCTGGATAAGTGTCTCAGCATGTTCAGGAGCTGGTTTCTCATTTATCTCTGAGCTCTGCTAAGGACTCCTGGATGTTGGTCACAAACTTGCAGTACTTTGCTAAACGTACCTTGAGTTTGCTGAAGGTGTTTAGATTGAAGGTGGTTTAAGGCTTCAGCAAGTTGCAAATGTCCAGATTTGCCTAAAAGTCTCTTTGCTAGAAGAGTCGGTTTGTATTAGTGAAACATCTGGACGGCTAACGGTTAGGGTGAGGGTTAACGAACGGTGTCAGGAGTTGGTCTGGAGTCTCAACGAGTCGGAGAAGTGTGTCCAGACTTGGCAAAGGACATTTTATCTTTGTTGCTGATTTCTGGACTTTGCTGAAGGTTCCTCAGATTGCCTCAGAGCTAGCTGAGCTTTTGATGGATTTCTGAACTTTGCTCGGACGTTGCAAACCGCTAATGAGGCATCTGCTAAAGGCGTTTAGATTTAAGTGTTCAAAGTTGGTTTAAGGCGTCAGCAGGTTGCACCAAGACTTTCCTAAAAGTCTCAGTTCTTTGCTATAGAAGTTTCTGATTTTTGCGTAACATGTGTGGACGGCTACAGCCTGGTGTCAGGAGGTGGTCTGGAGTCTCTGGATTTAGATTTAGACGGAGCCTAGAGTTTCCTGGACTTTGTTCCGTGTGACTCGTCTTGGCTGAGACGATTCTCGGCTTTTCTTGTCAGACTTTACCAGAGATTCCTGGACGTGACCAACAAACTCAATATCTTGCAGAAGTTATCCTGAGCTTGCTGAAGGTGTTCAGATCTATCTGAGACTTGGAAAGTTAGTTCTGGTTTCAGCAGGTTGAACATGTCTGGGTGTTGTAGAAACACTTGTGGATGTGGAGCTGAAGGACTAGTTTTTCTAGAGGTGTCTACATGTGGCTTAGATCTGGACAAAGACAGCCAGCGGTCTCTCTGCAGCTGGCTGCAGGTGTCGGGTCTTTGCGGCTCACCTGTCTTGTGGTGGTGGTGGTGGCGGTGGTGGTGGCGGAGGTGGTGCTGGGCGGAGATGTGGACGTGCTGGGCCAGGACGTCGGCCAGCCTGCCGCCGGCTGCCCCGCTGCCGCCGCTCCGCGTGGAGGAGGAGGACGAGGAGGCGGTGGAGGAGGTGGTGGTGGTGGAGGAGGTGCCGTGGATGGCCCGGCTGATCCAGTGCTCCATGCTGATGCTGCCCTCCCGGCTGGACGACGTTCCTCCGCCGCCTCCTCCGTCCTCCTCCTCGCCGTCGCCCCCGCCGTCGTCGTCGCCGTCCCCCTGACCTTCGCCCTCCGAGCCCGACGAGGTGTCTGAGGAGGAACAGAACCATGTGACGGGTCCAGAGCGGCTCATGACTGAAAACTTTATTCAAAACGTTGTCCAGAACAACTTCAAACTTAGTCCAGAATAATTCCAACACTGATGGGAATGAGCCAAACCGTTACCACAATGACTTGTTTAAATCATTACCATCTGTCCAGAGTGACTTAAAACGAGTCAGAATTTGGATGAAATGACTGAAAACGTTTTCAGAATGACTCCAAGTTTATCCAGACTTACAAAATTAGTTCAAAATGACTTAATTTGTCTGGAATTTCTCTCAATTTTGTCCAAAAAAACTTTAAAACTTTCACTAAAATGACTCAAAATGTTGTCCAGAAGTATTCAGACACTGATGGGAATGACTCAAACCTTCTACAAAATGACCTGCAAGTCGTATAAAATGACTGAAAACTCTACAGTTACTCTGATTATTATGAACTGAACAGAATGACGTTTGTCTAAAGTGACTTGAAGCGTTCAGAAACCAGTCAGACTTGGGATGAAATGTGTCAGAATGAAACCCGTTCGTATTCAATCCACAGACGAGCAGCTGAATCAGACGGAGAACTCAGAGCTGAAGTCAGTTTTTCCAACATCTCGTTGCACTAACAGGAAACGCTGACATCACCGATCAATAAATGATCAAACTGTGGACACAGAAGTCGACACACAGAAGGATCTGTTTCACCGACGCAGAGCCAGATTCAGAGCTCGTGCTGTGAATGAATCTGATCCGATAACATCAGAGCTTTATGTTGACATATAGATACAGACGGACAGGAATCAGTGGCAGCCTGGTGTCTGCAGGGATCAATCACATCGATCTCCACCTGATCAGAAGCAGGCTTTAGTCTTTAAATGACAGTTTAGTTGGTTTTATGGGAAACTTCTGCAGAACGTTGTCGGGGAAACCTGACAACGTTCTGCAGAACGCTGAGAGAACGTTTTCAGAGTTCGTCTCCGATCACAGACGGCGTTTAAGCTCCCAGCATGCTTTGCTGCTCATCTGAGTTCTATCAGCAGGAAGCTGCACAGGAGACGGAGCCAGGTGACGTGGTGAATGAATGAATGAATGAATGAGTGGATGAATGAGTGGATGAGTGGATGAGCATGAAGTGGAGCAGTCTGTATTCATATTGTCATCATGCAGCTGAAACCCAGACGATCAGAGTCGCTGCTCAGCAACACCAGACTCAGCTGTCCTGGAATGAACCGCTGGCAGCCAGAGTGTGTTCAGTGTGTGTGTGTGTGTGTGTGTGTGTGTGTGTGTGTGCGACTGCTTCTGCGTCTCTCTGAGCTTTTGTAAATCTGCAGGATTCTGTTTCGAGTCGTTTTGTGTAAAACTGTGGATCCTGTGAACGTCGTGCACGTGAGGACACACACCAGCCGTGTGTTCAGTGTGTGTGTGTGTGTGTGTGTGTGTGTGTGTGTGTGTGTGTGTGTGTGAATCCCTGGAAGGCTGGTGTGTGTGTTAGTCAGTGAGCGCTGCAGCTTTACCTCCACGGTGGACAAACCAACACAAACCAGACTGTTCGTGCTGATTCTGTGACGGCGTGCTCGCTGACGGAGGTCGTGTGGATGCGACTACAGCTGCTACCGTCTGGTTCAGATGTGATGGAGGTTCTGCAGACAGGAGCTCAGCTGGATTCTCCAGATTCACCCACTGAGGACAGTGAAGGACGTCTGGACCAGAGGTCAGAGCTGCCAACTCATGGTTGACCAAAGTGATGAGAAACGACAGAAACCTGTTGTTCTGGTAGATTAATGGTAGCAGCTGGACCTGCTTGAGTTCCTTGAAGACGTTCCACCTTCATCCAAGAGGCTTCATCAGCTCTGACTGACTAGTTGGGAGTTCCACATACTGATATCCTGAAGGAACCATTAACACCTGAGTTTGGGTTTCAACTGGAGGTTTGAAACGTCTTCAAGGAACTCAAGCAAGTCCAGCTGCCACCATTAATCCACGAGAACAACCACGACCTGGAGGACTGAGGATCTTCTCTGACATCTAGAGAAACGAGGTGTCCATCTGAGGGAAGCAGTGGTTCTGATTAGCTCACCGTCGTCCTTCAGGTCCCGTCTAAGCACCGACCAGCAGGAGGATCAGTACTGCAGTCACACACACTGGCCCGATTGGCTCTGATGGTTTAATCATCGGCAGCAGGCTGGAAACGTTAATCCAAATGATCCCAAATCACAGAGACGTGATCGGCCGCCTTTACAGTCTGGACCAATGTGGGTCATTTTAGAAACTAAATATACACAAAAAACCTCCTCAGAACATCTGGTTCTGATCCTGCAGCACCTTTATCTACTGACCAGAGTTCTACCTTCAGACTGTGAATGTTCCAGAGGTCCAGGTCCTTGAAGTCCACAGAGGAGGGTCCAGATTGATCACCTTAATGGACTTTTTCCATCATTTCTGAGCCTCAGAACTTCATCAGTACAGCAGATAGACACATGACATTTAGGAGGAAGAACACATCTGGGTTCTGCTAGAACCTGACACCAGATCAGTTCTACATCCATCCAGGTGTCTCAGTCTGAACACTGGACCTGGTTCTGTTCATGTCCTCTGTCAGCAGCTGCTAGCATCAGTATTATGGGATGGATCATAGTGGTACCAGTTTAATGTCTATGATCATGTATATTGTGAGATTTTTCTCTCCAGAACCAGTCCATTTTGTGTCGTTCTGGTTGGTTCTGTGCGTCGGTTGTTTAATCAGTTTGACATGTTGTCGGTTTGGAGTAAAGGTTCAGTCGAAGAAGTCCGACTCTTCAGGTCACGGTCACGCTGACATGAGCCTGGAACGTTTACCCAGAATGCACTTTGTAAAGTTTCCTCTGGTGACTGATCAGAACCAGAACCGCATCCAGGGTACCACTGATTGTTCCTATGACTCTGTGTCATAGACATTAGACTGGCACCACTATGATCCATCCCATAATACTGATGCTCAGAGTTGGTGTTAATAGTGAATTAAGTCTGAGGATGAAGCAGAGGAACGTTCCAGCAGCAGAACTTCCACAGAAGTTCTGCACTAGAACCCAGTGGAGCTCCGACCCAGACAGTCCTGAGTCCAACAGAACCGCTGTTTTAAAGAGACAGTTTATAGTTTAAGGTAGTACCTGACAGGAGCTGCTCACCTGGAGGCGTGTAGGCGTCCATGGAGGTCTGCACCACCAGCGAGCGCCGCTTCGAAGGCATCGGAACCGCCATCTTCCTTTCTTTGTGCTTGGCCAGCGCCGCCTGCACCGCCTCGGTGTGAACGTCTGCAGAAGCACAAAGAGTCAGGGTGGGCTTATCTGCTCACATCAGAACCACCATGCTGCTGTAGGTAGTCTGGAGGCTGTACAGTCGCCTCACACTTCCTTCATTTATGCTGTAAGAAGATTACGCTGCGGATCCTGAAAACTGGCTTCAGCCTGACGATCCATCGGTGCAGCTTCATGTCGCTACGTTTGGCTCCACCAGCTGCTGCTGCACCGACCGAAGCAGACACAGATTATACATGTTGTGCTTCACCTGAGGCCCTCAGCGTTCACCACATCCTCCACACGACAGCGCCGACCAAACCTCCACGTCCTGTCGGATCGACCCAATAAAATAAAACGTCCGTGTTGCCCTCGACCACATATTTTGTACAACGAACGCAGCTTGATTTAAAAGAACATGAGCATGACTGGGTTTACAGGTTCACACTTCCTCTCCTCTAATCAGCGTTCGTACCATGTGGACCAGAGGAGGTCTGCAGCTCCCACCCAGAGAGGAAGCAGCTTCAGGTGTGTTCTTCAGCATCCAGCAGAGTTCAGACATCACGTCCTGAAGCGCCGAGAGAGAAATCTCAAAGCGCCTGAGCAGCGACGTGACGACGTGTCGGCGCTCCGACTCGCTGGACACGACTTCTTCTTCCTCAGAATGACCTTCCAGTTAGAGAGTTGCCACTTCAGGAGATTCCAGACGGAGCTCCAGGCCTCCAGATCAGGACCTCCAGAGAGCGTCAAGGTGCTGCAGGAGCTCTGGGAGCAGACGGAGGAAACCTCCAGGTCTGCTCTGTGATTGAGTTCAGCCTGGTATCAGCGCGCCGTCATCAATACCTCGTATTTAAGGCTAAAGACTGAAACAGCACCTGGTTCTGACTTTAACCACTGAAAGAGATGATCCCAAAGAACATGTAGGAGTTCTTCAAAAAACAGTAAATAAATAAACAAACAAAAAAATCTAAATAAATTGTGATCTGTAAAATAAAAAATATATATCTACATGTGTATCTATGTATATTTACATATATATCTGATCGTTTCATGACACTTCAGCAGAGAACAGACCGACGAACCTTCAACCCTGATGTTTGACCAAAGAAGCTGTTCGGAGCGTTTCAGGAAACAAACTGAAGCTGCAGCTGTAGTTTAGCTTCAGCTCCAGAAGAAGTTCTGCCTGGTTCTGCTCATGAAATGACCCTCAGACATCAAACATTACAGCAGCTTTCATGACTGACCTGATCCTCACCAGCCTCCTCCAGGAACCAAAGTGAAGCTAAACATCTTCTAACCAACCCAGTACCAGGTTCTGTGTGAGCTGAGTTCTGCTGAATCGGGTCTGTGTCTCTCACCTGAGCGATACCGCTCGTCTCTGGAGCCCGAGGACCGGCGGCGGTGGTACCGGGAGGACGAGGACGGGGTAACGGGCGTCCTCCGGTCCGGGCCCATGGACGGGTCCATTCCTGCAGCACAGAGTTCACATGTTCAGTCCAGTACAGTCAACACGGTCCATTTACACTTAGACATGATCAAATGCTAAAATAAACAACATTTGTGAAAAGCAGCTTTTAATTTGGACATTATTTCGTTTAGTTCTAAAAGGTGGATGAGATAGAACAATATAATACCACAGGAGAGACGAGGACTGGTTCTGGACTGGTTCTGGACAGGTTCTCGTCTCTTCAGGGTTTTAATGACGTGTTCTTGTATCTATTGAGCTCGTTTTTTGAGTCCGTCTCGACTAACTTTCATCATTTTGACGTGTTTCTGTCTGAGTTCAGAGTCAGTCTGACCCACAGATCCACATTAAACAGCCTGAGTTCTGGTTCTGGTGAAGATCTGAAAACTCTAGTTTCACGTCATTTTGGACCTTCTTGTGTCGGTTCGGACGTGTTCTGAGGTATTCTGGACACATTCTGTCATGTTTGGAGGTGAAGGCTCACAGACACACCGTCTGATTAAACCGTCCACGTTCTGTTTCTGGCTCATGTTTGGACCAAACAGAACTTCTCAGGCGTCCCCAAGCAGCAGCTCTCTACAGACCAGCTGCAGATGTTTGATCCTGGGACACCTTCAGCTCCACAGCAGCTGGATCTGTAGATTCAGACTCAATCATTTATTGGCTGCGTCACAAGATGAAGCTACAAACTGCTCCAATAGAACCTCCTGACGGGTCAGAACCACAACGATCTGAGCTGGAAGCAGAGCAGAGAGAAAACAGCCGGCACCGACCGGTCTGATGGTAAAAGCTCCCGCTGATCTACCAGCTTCTAGCAGAGCCTCGTCCGTCTTCATTAGAGCTCAGAGCGCCGCTGCTGCTCAGCGCCGCTCAGAGCTCGTTATCGACCCGTTAACAGAAACACCTCCACTTCCTGTTTCCTCCGGGGAGTCTGGACTCTGCTCAGGACTCGTCTCTGACGCTCAGCCGGTTTGTTCACTCGCATCTTAACCTGCGTCTCCTGTTTCTGAAGCTCCAGATCCTCCAGACCAGGGCTCGGCAACCTTCAACACTCAGAGATCCATTTGGACCTGTTCCCCACAGAACAGGAAACACCAGGAGCCACCAAACCCTTCTGACCTCTAACATGAAGATAACTCTGCATATGTGGCTTTTTACCTTCATGCTGTGTATAAAAACTACATTCATGAAACCAGTGAGCTGCTGCAGAGGAAACACGAAAACAGACGCTGGTTGAAGGTCAAACAAACACTCAGTGTCTGTCTGAGTCCTCCTCGTATTTATGAAATAAAAAGCCGACTTAAATCCTCCACCTGCAGCAAAGTGAACCAGCGTCTGGTTGTCCTGCTGCCTGAGGAGCTCCCGGCAGAACCAGGACAGGAAACGATGCAGCTTCGTTAAAGCTTGTGTTTGTGCTGCTCACCATGGATTCATCAAAATGCTTTCATCCAGTGATTATTAATGTAAAACAATGTGCTGGCGTCATGTCTTCTGTCCAGTGGTACGGTTCTGACCCATCCAGGCCTCCGTACAGGGAACGCTTCTGATCAGACACAGTGAAACCTCCCACACAGAGGCCTTCCAGGAGATCAATGTCGGCCGTATTGATCCTCTCTCTACCAATCACTGCTGACACAAAGACTGTGAATCAGGCTGCAGCTGCCTCCAGATGTAACGCTGAAGCCGACAGAAGGAAGCTGGACGTCCACGGAGAACATTGTTTAATGATTAGGATCGTTTGTGGAGCGGCTCAGAGCTCAGATCAGATCCAATCAGCTGCTCAACAGAATACAGAATAAAATCCACAACGTAGAACGCACCAGCAACGTTCAGAAAACATTCACTGGAGCAGAGAAATCAT